GGGGGGGGGAATTGAGTCTGCTGTACCAGACACCAGAAACCAGACCTTGAGAATATGCTGATCTGGAATGGCTCTGTGTCTCATTTGAACCATCCAATGGAAATGATTCTGTATTTCGCCTCATTTGAAAGACTCTGTGTTTCACCTCATTTGAATAACTCTGTACTTTGCCTCATTTGAATAACCCTGTATAGCGCCTCATATACATTGACCAATGGGAATAGCTCTGTACAATGCCTCATTAGAATTATCCAATAGAATCCCTGCTCCTAGCTTGCGCCTTTTTCCCTATATAAGGACCCCTTTCCCTTGGCTCGGGGCGCTTAGCCACACAAAGGCTAAGTCGCCCCGGGTACCCGCGTCTCCAATAAAGCCTCTTGTTTTTTGCATCCAGTTCGTGGCCTCGCTGATTCCTGGGTGTGGGGTTTCCCTCTACGAAAGTGCCTCTTCGGGGGTCTTTCAGTCCCTTCTCTCCCTGGTGCTGTGGTTGGCTCGTCTTCTAGTAGGACAGAGTAAATCTATTTTTGTTTCAGAGGTTCCAGTCTGTTATGGCAGGGAGAGTGTGATGGAACAGAATGGCTTACCTTCCAGCAGCCAGGAACCAGCAAGAAAATCCATGAATTTTTAATGACACGGAGAGGCAAATAAAGGAGCCAGGGAAATGGCTCACCAATAGTGACTTTATTCTTCAGCAGCCGTGTAAAAAGCCAGAGATAGTGGCTCTTGCTTGTTACACCAGCACTAAGGAAGCAGAGAAAGGCTGATCTCTGGGGTTTGCTGGCTAGCTGGTGTCTGGTCTCACTGAGAATAAGAGATGGTGAGATGGCCCAGCCAGCAAAAATACTTGCTAAATAAGCCTGAAGAACTGAGTTTAGTGCTTAAAACTCATGGTGGAAGGAGAGAAGTGACTCCTAAAAATCATCCTATGATTGATTCCCCTAGTTAAAAATAATCAGGGAGCTAGCTCCTAAAGGAGCCAGAGGTTGACCTCTGGCTACATGAACACACGTGCTAGTGCACATGAAACCACACCCACATGAACACACACTCATATATATGTAAATACACACACAAACACAGAGAAGTGAGTAAAAATTGCCTGTGGTGACTATAATCCTAGGACTTGGGAGGCTGAGGCAATAGAGGTGTGAGTCCAAGGCCAGCTGGGCTACAGCATGAGATACTGCCTCAAAACATACACACAGAAGCTGGAGAGATGGCTCAGTGGTTAAGAGCAATGGCTGCTCTTCCAGAGGACCTGGGTTCAAATCCTAGCACCCACGAATGGCAGCTCACAGCTGTGTGTAACTCCAGTTCCAGGAGATCTGATGCCCTCTCTGGCCTCCATGGGCACCAAGCATGCATATGGTACACAGACATAACGTGCCGGCAAAATACTCACATACACGAAAATAACTAAAACACTTGTGGGAAAGAAAGAAAACAGTAAATGGGGACAAGGCAAACTTCCAACCTTGCCTTTGAGTAAAATGCCAAGTAGTAAACATGGCAGAAACTAAACAGGATGTTTACACAGACATGTCTTTCACCAATTAGTCATCATAATGCAAAACCAGTATGCTATAAAGTCTTGGCTGAGCAGAACAAATTAAATCAAAGTGATCAATGTCAACATCTTTTTCCATAGGTCAAGCAGAGATCAAATGCCTCCCAATAAGATACACTGAGGACAGCAGGCATCACTTCTTTGTGGCTGGGGTGTTATGAAGTGACAGAGAGCTCTTGTGTAGCATTCTTGAGGTCCTGGGTCTCATCCTCAGGACCTAAAAAAAGGTACATGGCCAAATCTCAGGAGAAAACACTGGATCAACTACAGAGAGTCCTGAAAAACTGAGGACTAAAGAAGACTAAAGGAGCATGACAGCAAAATGTGCATGGTTCTAAATTGTATCCCGGACTGAGGATTGCAGTAGAGTAGCTTTAAAGAACAGTATCTGGACAGATGGCAGCATTTACATATGGATGGTAGGTTAACTATTAGTACATATTGTTTCAAGTGGAATACATAGGGAGTGTAGCTTTATTTGGCACCCAAGTAGTTTTCCCAATAGTATCTTCAGTTCATTCAGCAAGTGCTTATTAAAGGGATTGTTAGTGAGTGGGCCTGAGTAGAGAGTGAGCGTGATGAAAGAAATAGAATCATAGATGAAATACCTACAATGCAAAAATGAAATGACATGGACTTGAAAACAGGCTCAAATAAAGGAAAATTTAACCTGGAATTCCTAGGCACTCACAGATAGGCTTTCATATTCTGTTGAACATGACAATTTCACAGAATATTTACATCCCTTTATGTAGCCTGTTTGGGGGGGGAGGGACCACCAACAATAAGGGTCACAGAATTAGGAAGGTTGAGAACCACTGTCCTAATCTATTGACGTTTATAGTTCTGAGAAAGTCCTTAAATGTGGATACCTCGAAACAGGAATACATGCCTGGCACTGTGGAACTGGTTAAAAGCTTTTGGTTAGGAAAGTCCAAGGTCCTCTGGGAGCATCTACTATTAATGTTTTGCTAAATGAATGTGTAGTTAAATTGTTCTCCCCCCCCTCTCCTGTCTGCCTGTCTGTCTCTCTCTTTCCATGTGTGTGTCTGTGTGCGTATTCATGCCCATATATGAGTATTATAACAGGGCCTCAGACCTTAGTAGGCCCTAGTACAACTAACTTTATGTCCGGCTGTAAAACTCAGCTTGTAGACATCACCACCTGACAAAAATGAAAACAAAGACCTAATCCATCAAAGTCCATAGTTCTGGGAAAGTCTTTAAATGTACTAACCTTGCTATTTGGCTCTGGTAATTCTGCTTCTGGCTAACTGTTCTTGTTAACTGAAGTATGTTAACCCAGGGCTTGGTTTTGTGCATAAAAGATCACCTTGAGAAAGGCTTGGGACTACCCTGGGATCCTGAACACCTATTGGCTTAAACCCATGTCTGAGCAGTCTTCTCTGTGAGCACCCCATAACACTTCTGGAGGTCCTACCAAGATTCCCAGAGACCAGACTGAAATGCTGGGGGTTTCATGAGGGCCTCTTGGAGTGAGGAAGAGTGTAGTGTCCAGGGGACTCTAAGGGAGCAAATAACCTGCGATGTTCCAGGCCCCCAAGGCTCCCTCTGCTCAGTTGCTGCCTAGTGCTTCAGAGGGGTGCTTCCTCCACCCCAAAGGAAACTAATTAGAAAGTCACCTGGTCTCTCACCTCTGGAGGTAAGTCTGGCTAAAGAGCCTTCTGTTTGAACACACAGGAGAGGTCGGCGAGGAATCAGATCCAGTGTCCAGTGTCTCGGATGTGGCTTATGTGTGGGTTTACAAGGGCCTGTCAAAAGAAAATTCAGAGACACTTTAAGAATGAATTTAGTTGTTGCAGCTGCAAGGGACCTCAGCTTCATGGAACTGAAGTACATTTCCTATGCCCAGGACATTTTTATTTTTCTCAATATTTATACTTTAGCCAGTTGATTACCATATGCTCAGAACAACTAACATGAATGAGGCTTCCAAAAAGATAATGCCATGTGCAGAGTCTCGATTCATAGGTACCACAGTTTTCTGGGTTTCCTGAACCAAGTTTTGCATAGGTCTTTGTCTTCTTTGGAAAATTCCCAACAAAGTTCACATAGGGGAACAAAAGGCATCTGGTCAGTCAAAGAATGGATTAGGCTAGGTGCTAGCTCTCCAGAGCAAGGTCAGGTGTGTGGTTAGGGCTAGTTGATATCCCTGCATTGCCAGTCCAGCAGGATACTGCTACAGTCCAGGATCCATGTAAAACTGAATCTGTCTGCCTGTTCAGATACACGAGTGTGTGGTGGCCACCTCTGGTCATTTCTACTGTGTGTGTGTCTGAGGCTGTGTGTCTTTCTATGTGTTTCTGTCAGTTTTGTTTCCTTGTATTGACCAGTGGCTTTCTCTAATGTGAGACCCACCCCCATTGACCTAGCTTAAGACCTGTGCTCCTTTCTGTTGGAGGCCTGAATCCTTTTGGTTCTGCCAGGTCACCCAGAGAAACCCCCCAAATCTCCACCTGTCCCATTCCAGCAGCAGGAGCACTTGCTTGTTTTTTGCTTTGTTTTGTTTTGTGTTTTGGTCTGTTTGTTTGTTTGTTTTTGGATTCTTTGAGATAGGGGTTCTCTGTGTAGTTTTCTCTGTCCTGGAACTTGCTCTGTAACCAGGCTGGCCTTGAACTCCCAGAGATCGGCCTGCCTCTGCCCCCCAAGTGCTGGGATTAAAGGCATGCGACATCATCGTGCACTTGATTGCTTCATTGCTTGATTCCTACTCACGGTCAGGGTTGGTCCCTGGGTGGAGGTTAGGAGGAGCTGGGCCTCTCTCCCAGGGCTCCTGCCGTCTAAGCAGAATGCACACAGGGAGGAACAGTCCTCCAGGTGAGCATCCCCTCTGCTCCTGCCTGCTCTAAGCAGCCCCAAGAAGGGGGAAAGCTCTCCTGAGCTGAGCCCAGAGGAAAAGAGAAAGTTCCACTTCTTTCTCTTTCATGATTTATGTCTTTTAATTAGTGATCTTTGTAATTGGAAAACTCAAAACCCACCATTCTCTGGGGGAAAAAAGTAGAAAAACCACCCCAAGGCTGGGTAGGGGAATTGTTGCCAAGCCTCGCAGCCTATACAGAACAGATTTTCCCTTCTGTCTAACATTGACCAAGGGGACTTTAAACAATTTTCAGTAGGTCCTTTTAAAAAGGATTAAAGACAACTGCTAAAAAGATGTCCTTTATTACCAGTTGGCCCCAAATATTTAAAAAGTTATGAAAGTTGAAACAAATAAAGCTGTAAGTAGGTCCCAGTTGCTGGGGTAGCTCAAAGGGTGTTTAACAATAGAGAACTGATTTCAACAAGACCTTTTGCATAAACTGGAAAGCACTCTCACCTTCTCTGATGATGAAATGCAGTTAGACTTACAAATTTTACCCAACAAATTTTGGTCTCTTACCCTCTGTCAGGAAAAACCACCTCCCAGGACCAAGCTCCTACAATTGTTCAACTAGCCAGTTCAGATACCTTTGTCCAGACCATACCCCAAAACTCCTGAAACAAGGGGAAGATGCAGTCCATATTGCCTGGCTTGAAGACACAGGCATCCTAATACCTAACAAGTCATCCTGGAATATGCCTTTCCTGACTATGACGCAGCCTGGGACCTCTGATTCTCAAGGGTCTGATTCTTTCAAAGAAACAGGTGTGCACTGCCTTGGACCTGAAAGATGCATTCTTCAGCCTCCCATTGGCAGAGGTGAGTCAACCCATCTGTCTTAGGAGTTCTGTTGCTGTGAAGAGACACCATGGCCACCACAACTCTTATAAAGGAAAACATTTAATTGTAGCTGGCTTACAGTTTTAGAGGTTTAGTCAATTATCTTCATGGCAGGAAACATGGTGGCATGCAGGCAGACATGATGCTGGAGAAGGAGCTGAGAGTTCTACATTTTGATCCACAGGCAGCAGAAGGAGTCTGAGTCCCACTGGCCAGACCTGAGCTTATATGACCTCAAAGCCTGCCTCCACAGGGACACACTTCCTCCAACAAAGCCACACCTACTCCACAAGTCCACACCTCCTAATAGTGACACTCCCTATGGGCAAAGGATTCACACACATGAGTCAATTGAGAGCCACTTCTATTCAAATCACCATACCATCTGTGCTTTTTTTTTTAAATATATATATATTTTTAAGATTTTATTTATTGCCTGGCGCTGGTGGCTCACGCCTTTAATCCCAGCACTCGAAAGGCAGAGGCAGGCGGATCTGTGAGTTCGAGGCCAGCCTGGTCTACAGAGTGAGTGCCAGGCTAGGCTCCAAAGCTACACAGAGAAACCGTGTCTCAAAAAACCAAAATAAATAAATAACAGATGGTTGTGAGCCACCATGTGGTTGCTGGGAATTGAACTCAGGACCTCTGGAAGAGCAGTCGGTGCTCTTAACCTCTGAGCCATCTCTTCAGCCCCGTCTGTGCTTTTAAATGGACAGGCCCAGTGGGAGGTTACAGGGAAAGACTTACATGGACCAGGTTGCCCCAAAGATTTAAAAATTAGCTAACCCTGGTTGATGAGAGACTTAGTGCTGACCTTCTGCCTTTCCATCAGAGGTTTCCTGGGAAAATAGGTTATAAAAGGGCCACTAAGGGACTGCTACAAGAGTTACAGAACTTGGGCTACAGAAGGCTAAGAAAGCCCAACTTTGTAGAAGGTTACCTATCTTGACTTCCAGCTGAAGGGAGTAGGACTGCTGCCATCCTTCAGATCCCAACTCCAAAGACTAAGAGACAGGTTTGAGAGTTCCTAGGTGCAGCTGGTTATTGCTATCTCTGGACACCAGAGTTTGTAGAAATCCATCAGCACAAAGTGGGGCACTGAGGCCCTTTATCTGGACTAAGACTAGACAAAAGACATTGCAAAAGGGTTTTAACCCAAACTTCGGGGCCATGGAAACACCCTGTGACATATCTGTCTGTAATAGGTCTTTCTTTGGACCACCAGCTCTCTAATAATGACACGGAGACTTTTTATTAATTATGAAAGCTTGGCCTTAACTTAGGCTTGTTTCCAACTAGCTCTTAAAACTTAACCTGTTTATATTAATCTATGTTCTGCCACGTGACTTGTTATCACACCTCAGTACCTTATGTCTGACTTCCTTTGAATCTGACGCATGAATTTCCCCGTCTCAGATTCCCAGAGTTCTTATCTCTCCCTGGAATTCCTGCCAATCTTCTCCTGCCTAACTATTGGCTGTTCAGCTCTTTATTGAACCAATCAGAAGGTGCCTTAGTTAGGCAAGGTTAAACAGAGACACATCTTTACACAGTATACAAAAAGAATATCCCAATATCTGTCAAAACACCTATAGTCACGGGATGGCCTACAAGAACAGTGGTAACTACTGTTAGTTTAATTAAAGAAAGCAAACAAGTTAACTCTGGGTCAGATCTTATACTTGAAGTGGTGGTGCACGCCTTTAATTCCAGCACTTGAGAGGCAGAGGCAGGTGGATCTCTGAGTTCTAGGACAGTCAGGGCTACACAAAGAAACCTTGTCTGAAACAAAACAAAACAAAATCTTGTACTCATAGTACCCCATGACATGGTTGAGGCCCTCTCCTGAGGAATACCAGAACGCTGGCTGTATAAAGACTGTGTGAGCCAGTACCAGGTCTTACCCCTGGAGTCCAATTTGAGAAACCCACCACCATTAATTCTGCTACCCTCTTGCTTGATGATGCAGGTGCTTGTCAATGACTGTCATGAGATGAAAGCTGAAACCAGGTAAGGGAGAACTGCAATAATTACTTTTGTTAGACCCCCGAAAACTCAAGTATCCGGGGTCTCAGGCCAGGTTCGCGGTCACCCCAATCACCAGGCGGATTCGAGAGCTTGCTGCAAACTGCACGAGGCTTTATTGTAATTTAACGAACTAACCCCATGTTAGCTCGGGTCTTTCCCCCCCCCGCCATGGCAGACGGCTAGAAAAAGACGGCTCCTAAGGTCTCCCCAAAGATCTTATAGGGCAGCGTAAGGGGAGTGTCTAGGGGTACGCACAGGCTTACGCACAGGCTCATGATTGGTGTGCTTCCAGGCTTGGAGGACTTGCCCTGTGTTGATTGGTCAACTGGTTGTTATGGCCCATAGGCCCTCCCAGGGTGGTTGCTATGCTCTCTACGTCATTGCTGTGCGCTTGTCCGTAAAGCACACCCAGGGTCGTAAAGCATAGCGCCACCAGCTAACTTCCGATTGGTTCCTTGTCACGAGACAGGCATCTGACCTCTACGTGACCAAGGCAGGTTTATGGCAAGCACGTGTTCGGCTGTTATGGCTGCCAAAAGGGAAGCCGGTTCCTTCACTTTGATGGAAACAATTTGGGCCCAAGACAGGTACCCTAGCTCCACCACCACATACATGGACTGTCAGCAAGTATGCTTCTACTACTAGACATGTCCATGGTGTGATCTACAGAGAAACAGGACTTCTCACTGCTGGAAAAAAGAAGATTAAGAATCTTGGCTTCCTAGAGGCTATTTGGCTTCCCCTTTACTCCTGGGGTGCAGATCAGGCTGCCTGACAAAAGGCCCTAAAACCAGTGGGGCCTATTGATATTTTGATGACATACCAGGACCGAGTGCCTGAGACTCCGTGGTAAAGATGAAATGGACAGATCAAATCCTCAGGTTGACAGAGAGCACCAGAGGAAAAGATAATTCTCCCAGAAAAAACTGGGAAAACTCTGGTAACTGACTTTCACCAGGCTACTCATCTGGGGTTTACAAAACTTTCTGAGTTGCTCAGATCAACATATGTTATACCTAGACTGAGCAGCCTAGTGTGGGATGTCTCAGACAGATGCCAGGTTTGTGCTCACATGAATCCAAAACAGAGAACCCTTACCCAGGAAGGGGTCCAAATGAGAGACCAACACCCTGGTGAACTCAGGGAAAACTGACTTCACCAAGATCCTGCCTGTTAGGGAAGAATAAAAGTACTTACTAGTTTTTACAGATGGCTTTTCCAGCTGGGTAGAAGTGTTCCCCACCCAGACTGAACTGCTCAAATAGTGGCTAAAAAGCTCCTCCAGGAACTGGTCCCCTGATTTGGCCTCCCCCTAGCAAAGAGGTCTGACAACGGCCTGGCTTTCATGGCCAAAACCTGTCAGTTAATACCTAAAGCTTTAGACATACATTGAGAAATTCATTGTGCAGATAGAACTCACAGTTCTGGGCAGGTAAACATTAACAACAACAGGAAGCCGGGAGGTGGTGGTGGACAGCCAGAATTGTTACACAGAGAAACCCTGTCTCAAAAAACCAAAACAGGACAAAAACAAAACAAAAACCAAACCAAAACAAACAAAAACCCTCTAACAGAACTCTCACTAGAGTTCATCAAAGGATGGATAGGCCTTTCCCTTTGCTTTGCTTCTGTCCACTGTACCCCATATAGGGAGGTATTTACCCCTCTATGAGATTATGTTTGGAAGACCTCCCCACTGCTTCCCAGGCTCAGAGATCAACAGTTGACAAAACTCTTTAACCATTCTTTTCCCAGTTCTCCATGTGTTACAAGCACTCTTTCCCGCCAGCCTGGTCCCACAGCCTCCTTGGCCCAAGTGAACACACAGACACTATATTCATTATGAAACTGTTGGCCGATGAGTAGGGCTTCTTATTTGGCTAGCTCTGTCTTAATTATTAACCCATTTCTATTAATGTATGTGTTTCCACGTGGTCTTATCTTATCGGAGAAGGGTGTGAACCTCTTACTCCTTCCTCTGCTACATGGAGACTGCCTTCTGCCTACATTTCCCAGAATTCTCCTCATCTCCTAGACTCGCCTATCTTGCTGCCCATTGGCCAACAGTGTTTTATTCATCAACTAATAAGATACATGTACAGAAGGACAACCCCTATCATCTCCTCTTTTCTAAATAAAAGAAAGGTTTTAACTTTAACATAGTAAAATATATAACAAAACAGTTGTTAAGCAATAACCAGAATTACAATATTTAGTCCATTACCATTTGGCAAAATTTAAAGAAAATATTCCATCATCTATCCTATCTTTGTGAGTCTAAAGTCTTATATGTAACTTATCTTTTATCATAACTAATGAAACCATAACCATAACTATCTCTCTTCAACTCCATCAAAGACCACAGAAAGATAATATATAAACTCTAGAATTGACAGAGACATCTCGCTGCCTGGACAGTCATCCAAAGTTCCTCTGTAATATTGGAGCATCTATCTTCAGCCCATAGGCCATAGTGTGTCTGGCAGACTTCTCATTAAAGCAGGACATTTTAAGCTGTCCACCTGTATTGGCAGTATTTCAGTCATTTTCTGTGTCCTGCAGAATGTCTAGCAGACTCTTCCATGAAGCAGGAACATGCAGCACTGTCTTTAGCAAGTTCAACAGTCAGTTTCCTGTGGGTCCTGCATGTCCAGATTATACAGCATACAGTCAAACAGTCTAGGCAAGAGCTGTTTCTTGCCCAAAAGGCTAATCTTGCCATGTCATAGGCAAACTCCATAACAAGTTTCTTTGATGCCCATCTTCCTCTCTGAAGTAATTGGTGTTGCCAGGAACAGTTGTGTCTCACTGTCATGAAAATCCTAAACCATTTTAAATGCTATATTCTGTAGGTCTTTTAAAGGTTTGAAGAGTGCCTATCCATTTGAAATATAACTCTATATATCTAGAAAACCTAACTAAGCTAACTATAAGTTTTGACTATTATAGGTAACTATAATCTGTACTTAATTATACATTACATTTTTAAATGAGCTATATAAACACAATACCTAAACAAGAAGAGAAATATAATAAAATTGATCTTAAATTTGTATCAATAAGCCAAAATCTATATCAATGTAAAGTATCCATTTCTATATCATATTCCCTTTTTGTTCCTTTAGAAAGAAATTGGTTGTGATCCTTAACCATTTATAACCAATTCTATTTAAATGAAAACAAACATTTATA